AATTGTCAAACTCTTTGATTTTGCACTGTGTTTGCAAGTTGAGATTGTCCATACCTTCAATGACATGCATAATGAGGTCTTCTTCTTGGAGATCTAATTGATTTCCATACATGATTTTGTCCTGGTAGTATTCAGTAAACTTTTCTTGTCGTTTCCATCTCCTATTTTCAAACCTCTTCATAGGAGTGATTTTACTTTCCCGATTCTTGAATATGGTTGTCATCTTCCTTTTGAGGTGTTCGTAAGTAATGGTGGCATGTTCTGGTTTGGAGTGGAACCATTTTTTCGCATTTCCATCCAATTTACCTATCATGACTAATCTCAAAGTTTCTTCTCTCACCCTGTAAGTTCTTTTGATTGCATCTATTCGCCGAAACCAAGCTTCTACATCATCTTGATTAACTCCATTAAATTCAGGTATAAGGGTCCCAATTGTCATGTGGCTTTCATCATTGCCATTATTGGTTGCCACTCGGACCGCCGCCTGTAGAATATCTTCTATCGTTATTGGTGCTGCGGCACCTGCTTCCTCTTGTAGCTCATCAGGCTCACTATTAGGGAGATCTGGAAAATCTCCTTGCTCCAAATCATTCATCCTAATGGATAGACCGCCAGACTTCTACTTAACCTCCAAAATCGTTTAATGATGGTAAGTTCTGATTAACTGCTATACTCAACAAAATTCGTCCATATCCTTCTTCTGATTTGTAAGAGCTTTTCAAATGGTGAGATTTGAAATAGTTTATCTCAAGGATGGCACCTATTTCTTCCAAATAAAACTCACTTTTTTCCAACTAATCCAACTTTCATTTATTCCAACTTTACTGGTACAAGGTTTGATCGAGAGAGAGAGAGAGAGCGATCTTCCTCTCTTTTTATTCAGCACATGACATATGACAGATGACATGATGTCATCTGTCGTACAACAATCAAACAGAACATTGACATAAATTAGCGCCAAATTTGAATTTGAATATATTGAGATAACACTGTAGGGGATCTTATGCTGGACTAATAACGGCTTTTTTGCATTTTTGGAAAAAAATTTAAACAAAATTTTCCAGTATTGGCGTCTTCTTTCAATGTCTGAATACCTCTACCTTCATTATATTAAATATTTTATGTGAGCAATTTTTAGCAAAACCTATTATTGTGGTGAGATGATGATAAATAATATACCTTGTTGAAAAATCCTCACTATCAGATTCACCCTGTATATTCAAACCCTATATGTCGAACGAAATGGATAATTACCATAATCAATGTTGATAAATATACACAAAGTGTTTCGAAGTGAAATTTTCCAGGGGTATGCAGATATTTTTCAGTAGAATTCTTCATATTTGGAATAAGGAGATCGTTTCACGTAAACTTGGATATAAACTTTTTTCAAATCTAAAAATTCTGTCAATTTTATATTCTCGCTACCCAGCAAATTTCGAAATTTGACTACCAATGAATCAGAAGTTATACTGCACTGACAGTAATGCAATGTATTTCAGATTTGAATTCTCCCAATACCAAAAAAGTCTTGGATCTCATTTCAGGGCAACTACCTCCATTATTCCGAATGGAAACCTTTACTAATTTTGATATTCTCCAAATCCCCATGTGATTCCAGATAAGTTACATCTATTTCGATTTTTTTTTCCTGAAGATGACAGTGTCTACTTGACTTCACATATTCTTGGTTTGTAATTCATCGAAAAAATGGAAGTAGTGCGACACTTCATAATTTGTTGAAAATGGTATCCATAATTTATATAGCAAAAGTACAGTGGATATTCCAGAAACTGTTCATAAAGTCTGCGAACAGTCTGGATATCATACTTGTGCTTGAAAAAAAATTGGGAATATTTTGAATAATTCATGAAGTAATTTGTTGGGTCTGTATGTCAATTATTCCCATTATCATGATGAATAACAATCCAAAAATGTGTGAAGTTATCTGTGGTTAAGTACTGCAATCTTGAGAAAAAGATGTAACTCATTTGAAATCACATAACGATTCCTGGATAGCAAAATAAGTGCTAGTTGCCATTGAACATTTCAGATGTAGTTGTCCTGGAGGTGAAGAGTTTGAATATCAACCAATACCTCTTCCTCGATATATATGTTGACGTGTTCCGTCCAATTTCCATATAGTGTCATCCGACGAAATATTTAGTGCTATCCTTTTTTCAAGAATGCCATCCGTTATGTTAATCCTTTCAGTTCCAGTGGTTTCGAAACGGAACCACAATTCAAAATAATTTTCTATAAGGCCTAGTGAGCGTTAAACGGGACCACACTCGCAGGCTCCCTGGCAAACATATGACGAATGATCACGTCACTGTGACGTCCCTAATTGATGATTTTCCGTCAAAGACGTTACACACCAATTTATGACGTCACTATGACGTACTTTCTATGACGTGAGAATCACGTCATCACCTCGACGTCGAGTGAACGTCACTTGGAAGGGTAAAATAAAAGGTCAGTTTCATGAGGTTGCAGGGACGTCCTGTCAACGTCCATGTTTCCCAGACCATATCTAAACTATGTATACTTACATTATGAAACCGTTAGTTTTGTGACGTAACTATATATACAGGATGGGCATTTCCAGTGACGAGAAGTTTTCAGAAAAAATCGTTCTTGCATTAGTTTTACACACATATATGTACGTCTTGGTCATTTTTTATAAATATGCTTTCAACGTCGATAGAAGTATAACCCATTGGAACAAATCAACATGCAAGTTTTATTGGAATGATATATACCCAAAAGTAACAGAAAACTCTCTTCAAACTTTGACACTTTGTATATCATGGAAACCAATCAAGCTATATATGTATATATGAATATGATAATATTGATGTACCTTTATTGACCCCGTCACTTTAATGACGTTGCAGTGACTTATCTATATGACGTCTAAATATCACGTCGGTGTGACGTACCAATTTGGTGAGCTTCGTCGTTCAGAAAATTTTTCAATAATTTGTTATTCAGATTTTTGTTAGGTGACAGATAGTGCATGAATATACGTTACCCAACAAAGTGAAGCTAAATTCGCCAGCATCCTTTTCATTGCTATCAAACTATTTTTGGTTTGCTCACATCTCGCCGACACAAACTACATATTTTTTTATACAAATACGAGTAACTGATTTAATTCTGATGGAGATGCGTACTGAGAAATGGCGCTGCTGAATAGACGATTAAATGGACTTGACACCGGGGGGACCATCAAGCAGACTCAACAATGCATAATCAATATCATATGTCATCAGAGGTCAGTGATGATTATCAAACCATGTTTGCGGAAACTTTTTTACGTATCATCACCAAATTTGAACGTCATTTTGACGTCATCTCGACGTTAGCCCGACGTCACAGTTTGATGAGTGAATGACGTCAATGAACGTATGAAGTCATTGGGCTGTGACTTATTCACGTCATTTATCACGTCACCCGCGTCATACTTCCGAGCCGTGCGGGCGGCTTATTCCAGCATGCCACGTACCGGCAACACATTTGTTCTGGAATTTTTGTGATAGCAAGGTTATTGTCGAGTGTTTATTCCTTAATTGATCGACAATAAATTATGGAAGGTGAGTAACTATTTCACATTGAATTATGATTACATAGGTACCTAAATCAAAACATTGATAGTATAGGTAGGTACTGGACATGAAATAATAATAATTTATTTCAGGAGGTTATTGAGAACACAAACTTTCGATGCTATCATAAAATATTGTATGCAGGCTTGAACTTTCAGTAAATTGAGCATCTGAAAGTATGTCCAGGGTTCAGAAATCACAAATGATAACAAGAAGAGAACTTACAACAGAATTAGAACAGAACAAAAATCATCATAATGTATTATTATGTCGATGATGAGTTCTCTCTGAGGAAGAAAGGAACAAAGGTAGGTGGATCAAATCATAGATATTACAAGGATATAAGATATCTAATCATTGTTTGTTTTAGAAGGTTTTGAAAACACAAACTTGATGCCATCTATAAAAATTGTATGAAGGCTTCAACTTTCAGTAGATTCAGCATCCAGAGTTGAGAAATCAAAAACAACATAGTGAAATATTGCCAATGGGCAATAACTTCTAGTAGTGCTCAACCAGAAGCTGAGATACATTTTTTCAAAACGAAACTCGAAAATCTTCACAATGAATTATAAATAATAGAATGTGAGTTTTTTATTTGAACACATTATTATTCCAGGGAAATTTTGCAAATATCATGATATCCATATTTTTTCAATAAAATTCCATTTATATCATCCTATCCCTAGATATTTTTGAATACTACCTGAAAATGTCCCCATAATGTCCTATACATGTCCCAGAAGACCTTATACGGATGTTCTAAGACGTTATTAGGATGTAGAGAATGGTAACAGGAGGACGGTCTAGGGATGTCGTCAGGCTCGCCCTCGACGACCTGAGGACATTATTGTGAAAGCCTCAGAAGGGCCTCAAAATGTATTTGTGCTATCTGGGGAGTTACTTGACGATAATTTTGGAGATACTGGATCACTAACTGGATTTCAGGATAATAATCACAACATCACACACACAGAACCTCGTTATACTGGGAATTATGAGATTATATCCCATTAGCAAACATCGTGAATCAACGCAGGGAGAAAATGTGAATGAAAACCACTCAATATGGGCTGTATCAAGTCATCCGTTCAACGACAGTGGTGATACCAGAATGGTCAGTGTTTGACTCGACTTCCACCAAAAGTTAACGTGGAAACTTCGTGGGCAGGTTTGAAACGTGACCGATATTCCCAAACAGCTGGTTGGTCAAACTGATGGTAGACTTCAAACTGAAAGTGTGTGCTCGGTCAAACCACAGTCTTGACACAGCCATATTGAGCCTGATATTTCATGTTTGGCATTGGTGAAGGATCACAACATGCACATGAATTTCGTAGATAGATGTGACCAGTATGTCGGTAGTTACAAAGTGGATAGAAACTCGTAAAAATGGCTTCGTCATTGGTCGATGCTTTCATCTGGTTCAAAGCATGCTCTCTGGACACCGCAGGACTGAATCTGAAATATGTCTGCTTTGCGGTAGCAGCTGGACCGATAGGTTAGCATCCAACAATGCCTAACCCATCAGGAAGCCTAGGCACTGAGGTTCCATCAAACCAATTCAAGGTGATCGTAACACTCAAAAAGAGATTCGATGAAGTTGCTCACACGCCGATTCATGAAAGCAAAGTACGATGTGCCTTTTGCAGCATACGGTTGCAACCTCATCGAACTAGATGGCACTATTCCAGATGCAGAATTAATCTTTGCTTTCCTGAAAAAACTAACCGTTTTCAGGTTGTGCAAAAAAATTTATAATTCGATGTCTTCGATATTTTGTTTCATCACTTCCCTAGTGGTATCATTGAGGTACCACTATATTTCAAGAGAAATACATCCCCAAAATATAGAGTTTCTAGCAATCAACTGAAAATTCTTGCGACAAGCTTCAATGTTTGAGAGTTTGATTCATTCATTTTTGAAGCATTTAATTCAATTACTTATGATGCTTTATGGAAACGAGGATAGAAAATCCCGGGAAATCCAGAGGAATATATATCTCTCATAATTAGTATCCATCCAAACTTTTGTTAGAGTCCAGAGTATGAAGTAAATTCGGTATGACGTCAACTGATTGTTCATTCGTTCCATTGAAATTACCCTAATATCTCGTGTCATCATATTCTGAGTGTAGACCATGAACTTTTCACTGAATGTATCATTTCGAATATTATCTCGTCATCACTTGACCTGTTGAGTATTATGATTGATGCCCAGAATGTAGTTGCCGAACTTAGCGACTCCTGAGTACTTAATTGTGCGTGATTTATAACTTTAACTTATTGTGGTTCTTGGATGTATGACAAATCTATATTCATCGTATAGGACGTGGGAAGGAATTTTGAATTGAGAAAATCACGAATCTGCGATCAAAGGTCTATAAAAATATTGAGTTTCTATCAATTAAGTTTGAACCCGTTGATTGGGTGAGAGTATTGAAATGGAATATTCTCAGATGAATTATGAACATGAAAAAATGAAATATTCATGACGAAATACATTAAGATTTCGCATTCTCTATTTGATGAAAATATCAATTCTGTGTCGGTCTATTCAACAGAAAACTACTACAAAATCTCAACTTCAAATAGTTATTCGAATCGAATATTGAACGGATCACGAATAATTCATTTTGGAATTTCATACCCACTATGCATTAGATTTTTTACTAATCATATTGAATATTAAACAGTGACCAAAGCACCCCATGATAACATTGTTCAATGATACCAATCGAGTTTGATGCGGCCGAAGATGCGCCTGATATGATTTGCTCAATAACTCGGGAACTGAGAGAGATATTGAAACAAATGAAAAATACAAGGTTAGATGAAGAAGTTATCATGATTCTTCATTAGGTTCGGTCTACTGCAACGTCACAATACAAAAATGGGTTTCATGTCAGAGAGCCCAAAAAATAAGAACACCCACTGTAGCTAAGTCCCATCTATTGATAGGAGCTATTCATATTGCCGATAGAAAAGTGATAGCTTCATCAAATATTGCTAGTTCTAATTCCAACTGAGATAAACATTTGAAAACTAAAATTGATGCGAACTTTAACACCCCGTATAATGTAAACAAGTTTCTCGAATTTTTGCTATCGATTGACAAAGTCAGATGAGTAGAAACTGAGGTCAATATTATCATGTTCATAATTTTTCTGAGAATATTCCAATTCAATACTTATTGTGGTGCCACAACGAACACTCTATTATGTATATATTAAGTGAGATACGTCTATACTCAAATAAGAAGCCATAATGCTCATCATTGATAGCATGATCTTTCCTGATGTTCGATGAGCACAATGTTGATGGCTTTCTCAATCACTTAATTGGAGATAACTGATTATAAGGCAATAGCCCAGGCAACCAGATGACGAATGATCACGTCACTGCGACATCCCTAATTGGAGATTTTTCGTCAGAGACGTCGAACACCAATTTATGACGTCACTTTGATGTACTTCCTATGACGTAATAATCACGTATTCATCTCAATGACGAGTGAATCACTTGAGAGGTTGAAATAAGACGTCAGTTACATGACGTTGCAGAAACGTCCTGTCGACGTCCATGTTTCCCAGACCATATTTAGACCATGTGTACCTACATTATCATAATATGAAACCGTTAAGTTTGTTTCGTACTTATTACAGAATCAGGATGGGCAATTTTAGTGTCAAGAAGTTTTCAGAGAAAACCGTTTTTTCATCAATTTTACATATACATAGGGACATGTACGTCTTGGTTATTTTATATATAATTATATGCTTAAAATGTCGATAGAAGTATAACTTATTAGAATGAATCAGCATGCAAATTTTATTGAAATTATAGATATATACCCAAGAAGTGAGAAAAAACTTTTCTTGAACATTGACACCCTGTATATCTTAGAAACCAATCAAGGTATATGTGTTTATATATACAAATAATAATATAGGTGTACGTACCTATGTTGAAACCATCACTCTCATGACGTTGCAGTGACGTATATATGACGTCTGTAAATCACGTCGTCATTCATAATAATTTTGGCATTCGACTTTCAATTGGTGGAATATCTGGCAGCACTCTGACCTGGTATTCTAAGGTTGAGTTTGCTACGAACATCTCTGCTGATATGGTTGCTTTCTCTTGCATTGTTGTTGCAAGTGTGCCGTCCGCTTTAGAGAATTGTGGGAATAAACTGGTCAACGTGGTTAACCCTTAACTACTAACGTTCCAAATATATAACGTTGTCACTAACCATACGTCTCACAGATGGGACTTTTCAAATGTCCATATAAATCCTTTTTTTTTGTGAGCTATTCAAACACGTTCTCTGCATATTTGGCGAAGAGAAAATGATGTTCAAAATTGAAATAGAAATACAAATTTCAGTGACAATCAAAATTTCATAGAGGAGTACCTGATGTTCAAAACTTTGACATTGATCTATAGAAATACTAAAATAAAATTGAAATACTAAAGTTATCGATGATATTATTGTCATTCTGAATACAGTTAGAGTCGTAATAATATATGACACAGAACTAAGGCATGAACATGCAAATTGAAAATAATTACAATATCTGTATATCCAAATATAGACGCCATCATACGTGTTATAGGGTAAATTGAACTTTTATTGTTACGTAATAACTAACTATACGTCTACGAGACGGCAATCTATCTTTCACTCAAGATATTTCTAAAACTGAACAACATACAAAGATCAACTTTAGGGTACTGAATGAGTGCTAGGTGGACATAAATTACGTGGTAGGACAATGGTCGATATTGAAAAGGTGTAATCCAACAAATCGGATGCTGATATGCCGTCTCTGAGACGTATGATTAGTAGTTAAGGGTTAAGGTTTTTGCGCTAGCGATGGTAGGCAGTATGTTTCAAGAACAGTTCCTGAGGTATGTATGTGTCCATTCCAAGCGATGATCCCAAATATTTTCGCAGCACACTGTGTGAAGGATCCTCAGAATTATAGCATATTCTTTGCCAGGAGAACTCAGAAAAAAACATGCTGAGACCGTTTCAGTCTCCTGAATCATGATGCCAAATAAGTCGTGGGGGTGCTGGAGCAGTCGAGGGAATGAAAAATGTTATGTTATGGACATGAGTGTGTGGTCAGAAATACCTGGTGGAGCTAGCACATCTATGGAGTGTGATTCTGAATAATTAGTGAGGAATGAGTCGCGTATGTTGGCTGAATGGTTATTGACCTATGGAATTCGTGTGGGTTCCTTGATAATTTGCTCTAAGCCGTGAGTGATCGCGAAAGCGTTGGCTTGTTACATGGTAGTTATTTTTGAAAGCTTATACCTATTTGCGGCTCTTTGCTCATGCAAATAAACTAAAATATACAACATTGATGCTACGTGTATTTTGTCACAATAATGATATTACATTACATGATAGGGATGTATTTTGCATCAGTACAACAATGAAACAAACAAACAAGAACGAGTCATTTCCCTCTCGGCCATTGCTTTATTGATATCCTTCGTCAATCAAATGTAGAATCGAATGCAGATAATTTCATGACACACTATTTGTATTTAATTCGAGGTGAAATACTATTAGTGAATAATTGAACAAATAAAACAAAAAAAAAGAAAAATCTCTGAGTTCGTAAATCTCCTCTCCATGTGCGTTTCTACAAATGAAAATAGGGATGTAATAGTGATCTTACTTCAAACAATGTGTTGTAAAAGCAGATCAGATGATTCGGCCCAGAATGTCACTGCATCTGAAAATTTCATTTTCATAAAAACTAAAATGAAAGTTGATGAAGACAATAAGAGATAATCCCAAATAGTTTCACATACTGAATGATTTTAGGAATTCGAAACGTTATTTCGATGAATTTTGAGAAATTTTGAACTTCATCTCAATAGAGTAGGTATGACTATAGTCATTGAAAGGTATGAAAAAAATATGATCGTCAACTCTATCGCTCTTGTGAGAAAAACTTCTCTCTCGACGAAACGTGATAACAAATTTCTTATCCCTTATGGTTGACAGGAGACGAATTATTAATCAACATGTTCTATGTTCATTAGGATGAGAAACAAAGGTGATGGAGGCATCAAAAATGGAATGAATCATTGATTTGCTGATCGAATTGACAGTATTTTTATATGCACGTAGTTATGATTGTAGATGGATATGTTCGGCCATAGCAGCTTCTTCTCCAGCCATCCCAAGCTTTGAAGCCCTGCTCCGACTGAATTTTTTGAGCACACGCTGAATCATCACGAATATTCTCGTTGAGCAGATCTGGAAAAGATGATAATCAACAGTCAATTCAATATCATTTCTCTTCTTGGTGATATGGATAAGAATGTTATTTTCCAAACCAGGAATGTTTCAACAAAAAATAATCAATGAAATGATATGCAGGAAGACATAATGTTTTTCCGTCGATATGCATATTTTGTGATAATGTGAATATCCACATTATTGAATAATCTAGTCAAACTTTCTCGTATTTTGCCAACAATAAGAGGGTATGAAAATCTTTCATTCAATCATATATACTATTTTCGTAACCATCGAATATAATTCCATCTCTAATCATGTGATATATTTTTCTTTTCATTTCACGAGACTGATTATTTGCTTATACAGTGCGTTACAATCTGCTCCATCTTTCATTTTCACCATTCGTTCCTGTTTTTTATATATCCATAATGTTTCGTCGTCGTAGGTTCATTTCATTATACTTTCTTGGAATTCGTACGGCATAAAATATATCTTAAATATATCTTTTGAAATCAACTAAACTTTTGACAAGGGAATCTACTGATGGAATGAAAATCGAACTTCAACCCTGGTCCGCGCGAAGAGTGAGTTGACAACAACTGTCATTTGCTGTTGTCGAAATAATTATTCACGAAATTCGATAGATGTTACGTCTGAATAGGACCGTGATGTGAATATAACTGTTTGATATCTACGAAAAAATGGAATATACACCTCTGCGAAAAAACTGTCTAATGTCTCGCCTGATTGCTATCCTCGGTTAGGCCTCGGCAATCAATTCGCAGACTCGACCATAAAAGACAGTGTTTCCTCTTTGGTACGTGAATAACTATTCTTATTCCGATGTCAAATCATCGATACATCAAATTATTATGTCAATAAGAAATATGTATCTGTCTGAATATGATTCACTGCGAATGATGATTCATTACAACTAGATTGTCGTGAGATTCTCCCAAAGGACTTTTGAGGGATGAAGATTTTTTAGCGAGTTCTATTCGAAACACATATACGCTCTACCGCACCAAGTATATATACTTCGGATAATGAGACTTGATTTGTCGATTCAAAAACGAATGGAGGAGAGTATCTTCTTCAGAACTAATCAATTTCTTATGAACACGAAAATTTAGAAGAGTTTGTGTATTGGAATACCACGGAGAAGGTTCCCAAGATGCCAAATAATTTCATATCATGATCTACTTTTGGGTATACCTTCCTGGTAGACGTATCAATTAATTTGAACTTATATTGAACTTGAATTGAGAATAATTCAACCAATTCAATCTCACTACCCACCTTCACATTTCATATTGCATTTACCACCAGTTTTCCCGAAAGTGCACCATTGCTTACTGTTGATCTGTAAGAAAAATATTGATGGTTTATTCATTCACATCAATTCAAGACTTGTATGCAAAAGAATTTTCGAGATTTCCTTATAACACACTGAGAATTTTATGAAGATCCCATGATATGCCGGCCATCTGACTCGAAATTGAAGCGAACATCTGAGTGCCATGGTTTGTCCATTGATGAAATAGAACCTCTTGTGTACGCACTTCAATCCTTCTCTGTTTCCCAATTCCTCAATACATACTTCGTGTGTGAATCTCGCTAAGTTTGGTCTGGTGCTGTACAAAAATTACAGACATCAATGTGACAATTGTAACCGAATTTTGACCAATGTTTTATTTAATTCAGTGGTCGGCTTGAAGAATTTCCTAGGGAATGAAAGTGGTTTGTTCTTTGGCGTAAGAATTTTATGATTAATGATACTGAAAGGTATTTTTTTTTTCATCGCTGAGTTTCTGGGTAATGAATAATTCCCTATTTCAATCTGCTTTCATTAGTTGAGCAAGTATTCAGATCGAATGGAATCATGCATGTTTTGTGAATAATTTGAGTTCAGGCGTGAGGTGCCATACCTGCTCATCTATTTCGGATTGAAAGTTCACTCATTCACTAATGACTCTTGAATTCTCAAGAATGAGAGAAATGAATGGTTTGAGGCTACTAGGAGACCATCGCATCTTAGCCACTCAGGAATAATCACAGAATAATATGTTCAAACTATTATTTCCCACCAGACAGCTTTGCATAGGCGAATTCGCCGTATTTCAAATGGAGTTCTCAAATATGAGTATTGAAACGTATTAGACCTAAATACTGCATATTCCATTCATTTCTCACTATACTTCATGTATGGTTCAACAACTTTCCATAGTTGACCCCTCCCAACATTTTTCCTTCGATACGCCTATGTTCCTCGACATCATAAGTGTAACATGCCAGATCCATGAATCAGTTTCACCAGTTTGATCTCTGAGTGGCTCACCGAATTCCTTATAGAACTTGCGGTCTAGATTAGTCTATAAGTCGGTGTAGCAGACATTTTTATGTAAGGAATACTGCGAGTTTTGCTTCTCTAGAATATTGGTGGTATTGAATTCAACTAGGTTATTGGTTTCCCAGGCTAAAATCTTCATTGACAGCGTTGACCTGCCTACGAGCAGTGTATTGTAGTAATTCTGTTCAAAATATATTTTATGCACTAGCGGGCCGTAAAGTGCACTTTGCCGCCCGGTTATGCGGGCGTTAAGTCACACTTTACCGCCCGTGGGCTCATTATGGCCCACGGGCCGTAAAGTACACTTTACCGCCCGCTGTTCTTAGTGACCTTATATCCACATATCAATTCATGAAAAACCTATGATCATTTTCCTAGATTCAAATATATCCAGCGGTATATCATAAACTTCTTCTTCATCCGATTCCATAGTCTCGATATTATTATTATCACTAATTTTTACTTTTCAGTCAAAGAATGACAATTCAGCTCGTTTATTGAATGTATTACTATAGACAACAACCATCAGCTTGATTGACAACGTCAAAGCTAGTTAGGTACATAATAATATACTGGGTATGCATATTGTGAAATTCTGAAGAATGAATCTCTTCTAGAGATCAAAGAGTTTTACTATTACGATTAATTGCAATATTCGTACTATAATTTTCATATGTAAATTATCCATGAACATTACGCTTCTCTTGATTACTGAATTTATACGTAACAAATTAAATTCGGGGGGATATTAGTTTATCGAAATCAATAGTCATTACTTTTGAGTCAAGAAAAAAAACCACTAGTGCATAAAATTTTGTATGTATCACGTGCGTGAAATGCGTTTATGGCCTTCAGCGTGTAATGGCCCTCGGCTAGCGCCATCGGGCCATTATTCACGCCACAGGCCATAAACGCCTACTTTACGCCCTTGATACATAAATAACTATTATGCACGACCAGGCGTAAAGTAGCACTTTACCGCCTGGGTTTGCGGGCGTAAAGTGGCACTTTACCGCCCGCGGACTACTTTACCGCCCGGCGGGCGATAAAGTCATTGAGCTGGTGGTAAAGCTAATGTCACTGTCATATCGATAGAAATCTAGATTCCAATGGTTTCAGTTAATGCAAAATGATTGGGAAAATAGATCTGAATTATACAGGAGTGCTCATTTGAATATTAAAGGTTTCTTTATATTTCTGTAATGCAAAATTATATGATCAAACCCAAAACTTTATTAACCATAATAAAACGAACCAGCTTACGAATTCTTCGTATACTTTGTCGTATATTTTTTTTTTGATTTACTTGGCAATAAACTCGATTTTGCTCCCTCAGCTGCCTCACTAATTTCTGGTGGAGTACAATTCACACTTTCTTCATCACTAGAATTCATTTTGAAATCACTAATGAATTATGTATGATTACACAAATTGACAGTTAATATGGCTACTGGCCTATCAATTCCTATTTCGAAAAATTGACTGAGTTGCCATGGTAACGTTGATTATCCATACTTCTTGATTAATTGTATTTGCGATATGGATACAATACCAGTCTCACTGCAACCGTGATGTATTTTTATTGTGGTTGAGGGGTGAAGAGATACCTACATGATATATCAAATATATACAGGTCGTGCATAAAATGTTGTATGTATTTCAGGCGTAACTAGCTTTTATGGACCTAGGCGTGTTAATAGCCCTCGCTATCGCTCGGTCTATTACTTACACGCTGCGGTTCATAAAAGCCTATTTTACGCCCTTGATACATAAATAACTATTATGCACGACCGGGCGTAAAGTAGCACTTTACCGTGCGGCGTATAGGTAACTCGTAATGAGCATTCCTGTATTATTTAGGGTATTGATGTTTCAATTGTGTTAGTTCAGTATCAATATTAGAGGTCTCCTGATATTTCTTAGATGCGAAATGATATGGTCGAACCCATAATGAGTACAGTGATGACTTTAATTGCTAGCAAATATTCCTATTTCAATGAATAATTCACTGGTAACGTTGATTCCATCAATGATACTCTTGAATGCAGCAATGATGTATTTCTTTCGTTCTTGAGAGGTGAAAAGGTATTGAAAATGAAAAATCAAATGAACCGGTAGTGCATTGAATGCTAATTGTATTTCAGGTGTATCTTGCTTCTTTGGACCTTAGCGTGTTTCCAACCTCGGTTATTCCTCGGGCTCTTACTCACACGCTACGGTCCATAAAAGCCTATCATACGCACTTGATACATAAATTACTATCAAGAAGAATTCGAAGTTTACGTAATATACATGTGTTCTCACCTGAAACAGTCCTAATGCCGTTCCTCCATTTGCTTTCGCGACCTGCTTCTCGGTATTTCGGCCACTTTCACTTTCCACCAGACAGACCCCTGAAATCCACCAATATATCTAAAACGGGTGAGTAATCGAGTTTGGGATCAAGTGTCATGAAGCGTGCATGGAAGTAAGTGATTTCGTTGACTGATGTTTTGTAATCAACATCATGAATGTAATTAATCATCGAATGGATCACAAAGAAACAAAGAATACACTGGAAAGTAGGTCAAGAGATCTATAATGAACTATGAAGTGAAAATTAAACTGGGTTTTTTAGACTTCAGCGATAAGGCATAGGTATATCGTATACTTTTTAAATGCGATAATGGGCTGAATAATAATTATTATGTTTGCGATGTTGTGGCAATGGGGAGCGGTTGCATGAAGCTCATTGTTTAATTTACAAGAAATTATCAACAGCCTAGACACACGTTTTCATGGAGAAAACAAAGTGGAGTATTCGATCTTCTGTCACAAACTTGAAGTGTGAGTAAACATATCACTCTAAAAACCAACTAAAAAAATCAAAACTTGCGGGACCCATAGCCTATATGTAGGTAATTTAGAAGCACAGCAGGGAAACAGATATGTTGATTCCAGATACAGTATATGTAGGATATTTGTAGAATTGTGGCTATAAATAAAAATAATTGTTGTCTGACACAAGATGACACGACAAGTCACAAAAAAATGTATGTGGTCTCAGCCTTGTGTGGTCTCACCATACCACATTTTCCAATCAATATTGAATAGCGGGCAACATTGCATGTCATTTATAGTTCTGGTATGTCAAACACTGGAACCTTTGACATGATAATCCACAACTCTGTGGTGATTCGCAACTTCATTATGACTGTTTCAATCATCCTCTAAAGATGTTTACAAAGTTAGCGGAACCCGTGTCAAGGCGTTAAGAGGGCATATTCCACAGCGCCTCCGCCAATAAAAGAGGTACCGCTCCCAAGTTCCCCTATGGTTATGGATCATCCAAGAGGCTCAATTTTTTTTTCCTGGGTAGTCAAAGGTGCAATCGATGCATCTTATCGAATGGATTTTAATTTTTTTACATAGACTAATTTATAATCACCTGTAAAGTAGTGCGTTTTTGACCGATTTTGTGAATTTTTTTCCACGTTGTGGAATCAAAAATTGAAAATCTAGTCGATAAGATGCACAGATCAGATGTAGTACTCTTCAGAAATAATTTTTATGTGCTGAAATCTTATTTGGTTTTCGCATGGGAAATTGGGAGCGGAGGCACCGTGAAGAAGAATTTTCCCTGTAGGCGCGGCACTTAACAAAAATAAGCTCCTCCCATAAAATTCAAATGCCTCATTGATAGTCGATGGTCCTATGATGAAGAATGGTATTTATTATTTTCACGAAATAGTCTGCGATCCAATTTGTCTTTTCATACTACGAACCTGGTAGGTATCATGGAATCAACAAAGCAACTGTGTTATACCTACTCAGTTAATAGATTATTTCTAATTCTTCGAACACAGGGAAGTGCTGGAATGTTCTAAGCGATATTTTTAATATACCTATAGTCCAACAAATAGATAGATACCTATAAGGGACATGATAAAATGATCAAATGGATCGGGGTGATTTTAACTATATGTAGACTAATTTTTTCCATGCAAAGTTGAGCCAACAAAAAACACAGGTGCTTCGTCATACCGTCATTTCTATTGAATAGGTGAGATGAGCGAAAAATTAAGATTTATTAGACATTTTACATTTTCCATATTATTTTGAAAAAAATGAATGAAATACCGATTTACCTATTCACAGAGGAATGTCCTAGATAACAATAATTATATGGAATATAGAGATAGAATCCGAGATGGAATTCTTTTGATGGTAGGTTAGGTATGCGTATTTTGCTTTCCAATCAATTCAAAGAATCTAGAAAATAATGTATAGAAGAGTTGAGATCAAACTGAGTCAAAGCTGTGAAAATTCTCCACCTCTCAGACGGTTATTTATGAGAATTATATATCCAAAAATACCTAATCAATGCAAAATCGTTCGTTTGAGGAGAATGAACATTTGCATCAGAATCTGAATTAGAATAGGTGAGATAAGGGGAAAAGTACTCCAAGATTCATAAGACATTTTACATTTTCCATATTATTTTGAATGAAATACTGATTCACTCATTCACAGATGAATGTCCTAGACTTGCACAGGCATGTGGGATTCCGAGTCAGCTATTGCAATATAAATAGTAGTTTGAAAAACTAATGAAACACGCTTTTATAGATAACCAAACTAAGAAGAAATAAGTAGAAAATAAAGAGTTTGGAAAAATGAAGAGATGGATTGCCAAAGTAAAGAGAAGCAGAACATAAATAGATCAGTTTGAAAAACTAATGAAACACGCTTTTATGGATAGCCGAGTGGATAGCCAAACTGAAGAGAAGTATAGAAAATAAAATAGAAAAAGTGTGTTGATACATATTTAACTCAAAAAATATTTTTTAGAAATAATGTTTATGACAAAACAACGTTTGCCAGGTCAGCTAGTGCCTGATATAACAATGTCTGATGCCACTAGCGAAAAGCTACTTTACACCTGAACAACTTCTCATAATTTACAAAGCACAGATACGGTCTGTTCTAGAATTCTGTTCCCACATATGGGGTTCAGCACCAAAACATACAACAGGCGAGGTAAAAGGTCAGCGACCTTCCACTTTTCCATATAGATACTTCCAAGGGAAATATTCTTCAGAAATCTCTGGTATCATTCCATCACTAGCAATATACCAGTCAGACGAACTCGACAAGCCCAGTCAACCGATCGTGTCGTGGTCAACCTCGAAATATGTCGAACAGCACTTTATCAAATCTCGTTTGTCTGTAGAATGGCAAAGCTCTGGGATTCATTGCCTGAGGAAGTGTTTCCAAGCACTCAGGTATGTTCTCCAAAAGTTATAGGAAAATCCAATACCCATCTCCTCTACCTGTCCTCCTTAGATGCGGATTCCCTTCCGTGCGCTCCTAGCGATAAAAAATACAACATTCCATATTTGGTATGTATCGCTCTAATTTCGAAAATATCCTGTAGATAATATAAACATCATCATATACCTATTGGTTAATTATCAAAAATGTAGAAAATATCTAATCACCAGCGCCAAATTTCAAATAAGTACTGACAAAAGTTCAAAATATTAGTAATTATGAGACCATTCGACTGCCTTCGATGAATAATCAACCGGTTGACAGTGAGCGGCAAAAAGTAATCAAGACTTCAAGACGGTGTCGCGCTACTTCATATGTTCGGTGCCCTCGACGTGCCGCTCGATAAACATACGATTCCAGCTTTCTAGGAATTCTTCAGGTTGATCCCGCCCCTTTCGGAGTGGAAGGGCTAAGACAGAAAACTGATAAAATTCGAATAATTTCGAGTGGCATATGGCCTCTTAATGAAATTGGATGGGTTATTGATGGTAAGACAGTGTGGTGCCATATACTTCTGTATATGACTTGATTCCAAGCCCCGTTTCTGGCTCATATTTGCCTTTATGTCCGCTTCTAATATGGCATAGGTGCAAAAGGTACCTTGGCAATGAACTTCTAAATCTGCCATAATTCACCAGAAATGAAATTCGTAATGTGGTTGTGATGTAATGGGAAGTGAAATCTTTCCTGTACTGACTCGACAGTTACCTACTTCATAGAATCATATAGAGGGTAAATGTGAAGACTTCACGAGAAGAAATGAGATTAGCGTAAATAGCAAAATCAGTTGGGATGAAAAATAATGGTTGCTGTTGCTACACAATTTAGATATGGAGATGATTAGGTCGTATCAACAAGCAACCATTTATATTTGGCATTGGTAGTGGAAAATATCACCAACTCACTTAATGTAATGAAATTATTTTGAGCCAGCCTCATTACGAGGCTGACATCGACTGACATTGACTGACATTGACTGACATTGACTGACATTGACTCACATTGACTGACATTGACTGACATTGACTGACATTGACTGACATTGACTGACTTTGAATGACATTGACTGACATTGACTGACATTGACTGACATTGACTGACATTGACTGACATTGACTGACATTGAATGACATTGACTGACATTGACTGACATTGACTGACATTGACTGACTTGACAGTTTTTATGTCTCACCTTCAGTGCTTTCCCAAGAATTATTTTTTAGAGCAGTTCCCTTATCTTTTGAAGACTTTTTGAGGGTTCTGTGTGCGGTATTCACATACTACTATAGCTGGTGTAAAACACAATTTTATCCAATTGAAATATCTGTATACAGTTCTTCATGTATTGTCTACCAATCGGTATTGAAAAATATGTTGTTCCTTCTTCCAATTTGATCAAAATATAGTTGACCGTAAGTATCTATAATATAAGAACACCTACTTGTATGATAATAGTCTCATAATTATAAAAAACCGACATGCGTGAAACAATGTTGTAAATCAAGGTATCTCGTCGATTGATTCGTCATTTTATGCACGACCGAGCATGAAGTGGCACTTTATCCACCTGGTTTTGCAGGCGCAAAGTGGTACTTCACCGCCCGCGGACTCGTGATAAGCATTCCTGCATAATTCAGGACATGTATGTTTCAGTTGTTTTACCATGGTTACGTTGATTCCATCAATGATATTCCTCTCAGCAGCCATGATGTATTTCTATCGTTCTTGAGAGGTGAATAGGTATTCACAATGAGAAACCGGTCAGGCATAATAGTTATTTATGTATCAAGGGCGTTAAGTAGGCGCTTATGGCCTGTGGCGTGAATAATGGCCCGATGGCCCTATAGCCGAGGGCGATTACACGCTGAAGGCCATAAACGCATTTCACGCACGTGATACATACAATATTTCATGCATTAGTGGTTTATTTTCTGACCCGAAAGTAATGACTATAGATTTCGATAAACTAATATTCCCCCGAATTTAATTTGTTACATATAAATTCAGTAATCAAGAGGAGCGTAATGTTCATGGATGAGTTGCATATAAAAATTATCGTACGAATATTGCATTTATCGTA